CCGAGTGAGCGGGGCCGGGCCGGGCCGGGCCGGGCGGGGGCAGACGGGAGGCGCTCGGTGCCTCGGCGGCAGCGATGGGGACGGCGGCGCTGAGGGGGCTGGGCCTAGCCCTGGCCCTGGCTCTGCCCTCCGCGGCCCTGGAGAACGGGCTGGCGCTCACCCCCCCCATGGGCTGGCTGGCTTGGGAGAGGTTCCGCTGCAACGTGGACTGCCGGGCGGACCCCCGCAACTGCATCAGGTCAGCGGGGCGGGGAGCGGGAGGGGACCCCCCACCCCCGGGGGGGTCCCTGCCAAGGAGGGGCTCGGCGCGGCGTCTGCCCCCCCCTCCCTGCGAGGAGGGCTTGTCCTGTGTGTTCCCCAGCCCGAGGGAACCTGCTGGGAAACGCCAGGCTGGGGTCCGGGGTCTGCCCCGGGTGGGCAGAGGGGGTGATGCCGGGGCAGGAGAGGGTGGATGGTCGGGTCGGACGTCAGGCCCGGGACGGCTCTGGCACCGTCCGTATCCCTGGGGCGAGCCCTGTGGCAGCGGGACCCCGGGGAGCACAGTCCGTGGGAGGCGGGGGGCTCAGGTGCTGGGGCCAGAGAGCCCCTGGTGCTGAAGGATGTGGCTGGGATTTGTGGGGTGTCAGGGAAATGCTTCCCCTGGGTGAGATCAATGAATGGGACACAGATGGGGTTTAAACGGGAGCCCTGGAGACCCCCCCGTATGGCACAGGCCAGCCCTGCGGTGACCGACCCTCCAGAGCCCCCAGTTAGCCCTGAAGTCCCCTTGGCTACCTCAGCTGGTGGGGCACGGAGGTCGCAGGGTCTCAGCCTGCCATGTCCCTGTCCCCCTGATGTGCAGTGAGACACTCTTCTTCGAGATGGCAGACCGCCTGGTAGAGGATGGCTGGAGGGAGCTGGGCTATGAGTACATCAACATTGATGACTGCTGGTCTGCCAAGCAGCGGGACACGATGGGACGGCTGGTTCCAGACCCCGAGAGGTTTCCCAGTGGGATTAAGGCTCTGGCTGACTATGTGAGTGCCTGCTGGGGACAGCGGGGGTCTCTGTGTACCCATGCCACCATGGCGGGAGAGCTGGGAGGGGTTGGAGGAGTCTGGTCCCTGGGAGGCACCTCAGACCCCCCTCGTCCCCTCCTTGCAGCTCTCCTCTCCTTGCAGGTCCATGCCCGAGGCCTGAAGCTGGGCATTTATGGCGACCTGGGCACCCTCACCTGCGGGGGCTACCCGGGCACCACGCTGAACCATGTGAAGCAGGACGCCCAGAGATTTGCGGAGTGGGGTGTGGACATGCTGAAGCTGGATGGGTGCTACTCATCAGGAGAGGAGCAGGCGGAGGGTAAAGGCTCTCTGGCCGGCTGGCATTTCTCCCTCGCTGCTTCAGTTGGGGCAGCTGGCCGTCTGCAGAAATGCTTGGCCAGCAGGTTCTTCCCTTGCATCTCCTGTTGCAGCTCTTGGGCAACAAGGGGGGAGTTGGGGTGCCCTAGAGCTGGACTAAGGCAGGAGGCCAGGCTGGCCTGGGGTGCCCCTGGCCGGGTGGGCTGGGACGCAGGCTGCTGCCAGCTGCCCTCTTCACCAGTTGTCATCTTCTCTCCCTAAGGCTACCCAGAAATGGCGAGGGCCTTGAATGCCACAGGCCGTCCCATCGTCTACTCCTGCAGCTGGCCAGCGTATCAGGGGGGGCTTCCCCCAAAGGTGAGGGTTGTCCCATCCTGTGGCTGTTTCCCGTGTTCCCTGTGCCCTCGGGAAACTCTTGTTGGAGCTGCAGGAACAGGGTGCTACACCCCACTTACTGCTCCACCCCTGGTAGGATGGGGCTGCAGGTCCCTGCAGGGGACGTGGCCTCCCTGCCAGGCATCTGGGAACACTTGGGGTTCCCAGCATGGCTGGGTGATGGGAGCTTGAGGGAAGAAGGACCTGGGGCAGGCCCTCTCCAACCCCACTCAGCTGGTGTGGGGTTGATCCTGATAGTCTGTTCTTCTGAGACAGGTCCTGTCTGGTTTAAGTGCTTGAAATAGGATGTTCCTCCTAGTAATGTTTCTTGAGGATTGATTGCATGTATTTGTTTCATCTTTCACCTTCTGAGTCAATTCTGAGCTGCCCTCATTCTTGCAGCTGATCATATTTCCCCCTAGCCTCTGTGGTTGTTTTGCCAGACATCTATCATACTGGGATATGCCCAGTCATAGTGGGACCTGACTCTGTCCTCCTTCATTACACGATATTGCCCTTCTATGCATCCCTGTGCTTTGCAAACACCGAACATCTTCTGGCTGCCGCTTCTCCCCAGCTTGCAGACCCCATCCTTTCTCCCTCTTGCCTGACCCTCTGCTCCTCTCCAGGTGAACTACACCATCCTGGCAGAGGTCTGCAACCTGTGGCGTAACTACGATGACATCCAGGACTCCTGGGACAGTGTGCTTTCCATCCTTGACTGGTTCTCTGCAAACCAGGATGTGCTGCAGCCAGCGGCTGGTCCTGGCCACTGGAATGACCCAGACATGGTGCGGCTGGGTGGTGGGTGCACTGACCCTGGCTGGGGATGGGGATTCTCTGGGGATCCCTTTCTAGGGGCAGGGCAAAGGAAGAGCGCCAGGAGCAGGAGCCCTTTTGCTGCAAAGAGGCAAAACTCATGTTTCCACAGCTTAGCGGAGGGCAAAGCCTGTGGTTGCAACGAACCCTTCACCGCTTGAGTATGGCTGTCCTGTTGTCCAGGTGTCCCTGTCCTTCCCTGCACAGCCTGAGGGGGGGAAGTGGTGAAGTGAAGGGTGTTAGTGAGTACGTTTGAATGTGTGCTGATGGCTCAGCACCTAACAGGGGTGGGATGTCCTGGCAGTGGTAGGCTGCTCGAGGGGAGGCAAATCATGTGTGAGGTTTTCCATGCATGCTTCCCCCCAGCAAGCTGCAGTGTCACCAGGTGTGGCAAGCAGACCACTTTCTAAGCCTTTTCTGCCTCTCCTGTCTTTTCCCTCTCTCCCCTCCAGCTCATCATTGGAAACTTTGGCCTTAGCTATGAGCAGTCCCGCTCTCAAATGGCCTTGTGGACAGTGATGGCAGCTCCACTCCTCATGTCCACGGATCTCCGCACCATCTCCCCAAGCGCCAAGGAGATCCTGCAGAACCGCCTGATGATCCAGATCAACCAGGACCCCCTGGGAATCCAGGGGCGCAGGATTGTCAAGGTTAGGGGGAAGGTGGACGCGTTTGGGAGAGCAGACAGGAGCAGCACAGGGGGTCACAATAAGGAGGGAGAGGGAGGCGATGCAGGGAAACATGAGCAGGACAGTTGTGGGAGCTGGGGACCTGCTGGCATAGCAGCCCCGCAGGGCAAGGTCAGAAGTTATGGGCCAGCGCTGGTCCCAGCTGCTCTGCCTCACCCACCCATTCCCGCCCCTAGGAGAAAACCCACATTGAGGTGTTCCTGCGCCCGCTGTCCCAGGCTGCCAGCGCCCTCGTCTTCTTCAGCCGGAGGTCAGATATGCCCTTCCGCTACACCACCAGCCTGGCCAAGCTCCACTTCCCTGAGGATGCAGTGTATGAGGTGAGCCCCACTGGCACACTGCATGGCGGGGCAGCCCCATGGCACCTGGATCCTCCTCTTTCCAGCTTCCCCTGTTGACACCCTGTGCATTTTGGGGGGGGCAAGGACTCCCACTCCCTGCCTCCAGGACGAAGGGGCAGCCACCCATTAGGCTGCCCTCCTGTTGCCTGCTGCTGTGCCCTGTCCTGTCCTGCCATGCCATGTCAGTGACCATGGCTCAACCTCAAGATGAAAGGTCTGTGGAAATCCTGGTAGCCACCATCTCTCTCTTGCAGGTACAAGATGTGTACAGCGGGAAGATCATCAGCGGCTTAAAGACGGGAGACAGCTTCTCGGTCGTTATTAACCCCTCAGGGGTGGTGATGTGGTATCTCTATCCCACGGTGCTCCCGGCACAGCCCTGGCACCTTGTCAGACAGCAAGCCCCCAGCGAGGATTTCCGCCCAGTCCTCCTGTGATGAGGCTCAGCACATGGGAGTGTGGGTCAGTGCCGGGGTGAGCTGCGAGACCCTGGGACACGTGGCTCTTCACTGCACAAGTGCCTTTTGCTGACGTGCCCAGCAGTGCTGGGGAGTGACCATTCCTCGGGTGCCAGCTTGATGTTTACTCAGTCTGCATAAAGCAGAAATTGTTGTTACCCACCTCCTAAGGGTGCACAGAGCATAATTCCTCGGTGACTGCAAAACCCTTTGAGATCCTCCTGTAGAAGATGCCATACAAGCAGAGTCCAGCCACTGTTGGGAGTTTTTGTCAGCTCTGACACCTGAGCACTTCGCTGCTTTGAGCTGGGTACCACTGACCACTGCAGGGGATGTTTGAATTATACCTGTAGAAGGGCTTCGAATGCTTTAGTGTCTTCTTAGGGTAGTGATTCCCCCCATGCATGATGGTGTTAGGCTCAAGGGTCAGACCTGGTCACCTTCTTTCCTTTGCTATAATCAGCTTGGCTTAGAATAAGGGGAATGTCAATAGGGCTGCACCCTTACCATGTAATCTCCCCAGGACCAAGAGCTCCTGGAGACATGATGGTCCAGTGCAGAGAGGCTTTGCTTGCAGGCCTGATCCTGCTGCCAGGATCCTGGAGGCCAGCACTACTACAGCCTGCATGCTAGCATTGTGTTAAAACCCCTCTGGTATCAGTTTACAGAGCAGAGCAAAAACCTCCATTGGCCGTGCACAACCCCAGCAACCTTGCTGTGGTACAGCACCAAAAACTGCAGAGCCGGTGTGTTGTACACGAGTGGTGTTGGGAAGATGCTGATGCTCAGTTGAGGTCATTTTTTGAGTTGGGAGATGGTCGCAGGTGCCTCCGAGCTGCAAGCTGCATCCTGTTCTTGCTCTAGCAGGAAATTCCTGCTGAAAGGGGGCTCAGGCCCTCCTCCAGCAGGCTGAAGTCTCAGGGTTTCCCAGGGAAATGTTTCTCCTTCTCCCAAGGGCAGCTCCATCCACAGCTCCATCCTGAGGAGGAGCCTGCACTAATAAACTGGAAGTGAATGGCCAGACAGACTCTAAAACCCTCAACTGCTTCATCTTCGTACAGTGCACATCCTATGGAGGAGTTTTAGGCAAGACATGGCCTACCCCAACTGCCCAGACAGGGCTGCAGCATTTGTGAAGACTGCCTGTTAAGATTGCAGCCCAGGCAGACCGACACAAGATTAAGCCTCTGACTGGGGAAATACCACGTTTTAGATTAGGCAAAAAAAAAAAAAAAAAAAATCCTATGCAGATGCTGGAGGGTTCCTGGTCATCTGCCCACTCTGGTTCCTGCAGGACCAAATGGCTGATTCTGGCCACTTCCAGAAACTTTCTCTGAGTGCAGCAGCAAGATACTCAAACATGATACTTGCAGTGCTAACAAGAAAGGATGAGTGCACCTCATGTCTGTATACAGGACTTGGCTTTGTTCTTGGGGAGTGATTGAGCCAAATTAATTGAAATAAAGGGGAAGCAGGTCACAGGCTCTCTGTTTCATGTTTATTCAGTGTTGCTAGCCATAGCCACTTGGTTCATGTAGGACTACAGGCTCATTACCTCAAAACAGGAACAACTACGCTAAGAAATAGAACTGGTTTCCTGTCAGAGACTGATGCAGAGTAGGAAACGGCTCTCCAGTAGTTACATCATGTTCAGGAGGGCGACAGCGTTCCTTGGCACAAGGGGAAACAGATTTTACAGTCCACAGTTAAGTGCCATTTTCGTTTAACATATATTTATTTTTCCCCCAGTGGAAAAAAAATTGGCTAGCAAGGAGTTCATCTTAAAAGACAGGCCTTCCCTCTGGCAGTAAATGTACACGGGAGAGGTGCTACGAATATAGCCATAGTGAGCAGTAGGGTGGTGACACGGCCTCTGCTAAATGTAGTGTTGTGTCTGCTCCGAGTCATGAACATGTGCCAGTTCGGGGTATCTGGGCAAAAGCAAAGGCACAAACCAGCCTTCCATTGTCCCCAGGCAGCAAGAGGACGAGCCCCACCTTCTTCTCTGCCCCCAGTTACGTGATTCCAGATCCAGCTTAGCCATGCACCAGGGAGAGAGGACTGGCCCACAGCCAACCCAAGAGAACACCACCAGCGGCTGTCATTTGTTCCAGCCTGCTGTGCACTAGGCAAGAACAAAGGTCAGCACAACACACACGCAACAGTGAACAGGCAGCTAAAGGTATCAACACTCCTGTATTAAAGTGCAGTTCAAAAAGTTACAAACATTCCTGGTTGATTTTTTTTTTTAAAATACAGAGTTATTAGAATATATCTAACTCAGACTTAAAAGCTGTTTATACATAAGGAAATTTACTTCCCCCCCATGCAGGGCTGCTTCAGAAATTCATACTTGCACATCATGCAAGCCTGACTTACAGGAGAGCCCTGGCACACAGGGAAGTAAGAGGGAAAACACCCCTTCCCCTTCACTGTGAAGGTAGGAAGGCTGTAGGAAGAAGTACAATCACCCCATATGTAAAGGATCACAAGGGTCTCCACCAGACTAGAGACCCTCTCTTCAGGGCAGGTTTAATGGCACTATGTCCTAAGGAAGAAGGAAAGGCTGAGGCTGAGCAGTCGGTCTCTGCAAGAGAGCCGAGCATTAGTAACATCCACACCAGACAGTGGTTCCCAGCTGAGAGAGGGCACTGCACCCCTAAGCAACCCAGCCCCGGTATTACAGCACCGACCCTCCCACGCTGCTCAGGTGTGGGCATACACGCACTGGCTGTAGCAGCCCAAGGAAGAAGATGAAGGCCAGTCGTCCCCTGCGGAGCTAGCACACAGCACAAGCTTGCTCAGCAGAGGGAGCCAGGGCTGCAGGACCTGCCTCCTGACAAGGCTAATGCCAGGTCATCTTCCTAACATAACGTATTTTGCTCCAAGGCAAGCAGCCTCCTGTGCAGCACTTGACTCCATTACGCTTGAAGAACAGCTGCTTGACACAGGATCATTGCACAGATATGGGACCTGCTTCTGGGAGAGGGAAAGGAAGACTAATTCACATGCCTGCCAGTATCAGCTCACTGCCCTGCAGCACACCTTTGTTTGCTTCTCTATTCAATGTCTACAAAGGCAGGCTGACTGCGGCCCATCCCCTTCCCTCTTGCACAGCCAAACGCTTCCATGTCTCTTAGGGTGCACTTCCCAAGTTTGTCACACCATGACTGTTAGTCCAGGACATGAAACACACTTCCAGCACAATACAGGATTTCCAGAGTCCCGTCTCACGCTGAGCTGTGCCAGAATTTAAAGATATTTAACACCTTTCTGGGGCACCCAAGGGTCTATGCAAGGAACCTCATGGCTCTCTATACCTTCCCCCTCAGATGGTGCCTCGGAAGAAGTCAAAAGTTTGGCATTCCAAGGAGTTCTACTCCAAGATCCCAGAGCCTTTGTATTTTAGTCCTAGATTAGTGATGTGGTCTACTGGTGGTTTAAGAAGTCCATCTCTCTCCTCAAGCCCATGGCAGAGCAAAAGGTTAGTGCTTTGCCCCCATGATATAAAGCAAATAAGCAGGAAAGTGCTGTTGTTACGCCTTGTATTGCTACTGACTTAATGTTTAAGGAGGGCAGGTGCTCAGCTGCCCAGCACTACATATATTGTATATATACAAAGAGACCTAGAGATATGCTAACCCGAGGGGCAGTAACAGCCAAGTTGTCTTCAGGGAGAGAGAGTGTGGGAGGCTGGTTGCAATTTCCTTCTGTTAGTTGTTCTTCTTATCCTCAGGAGGTGCATAAGGAGGTGGCTGATCCTGGAAGGAGATACAGTAGAGTCAACAACCCCACTCATTTTATGATGAATTCTTCCCAGGCGTTCCCAGGCTTGGCTTACAAGAAATGACTGCTCTTCAGTGAGCTACAGACAGAGCCAGGTGCTGTGTTTTAAGCTGTCCTTTCATCACAACATTCCTCTCTAGCACCAGTTATGCTCCAGGATACATGCTGCCTCCCACAATTTTCTAGGGAAGGTCCCCTCAAAACCAGGTAACAAATGGTCTACTGCAAATAGACCATTTAATCTGTTTTAATTGCCATCCTCCCTTCACTTCCAGGGCTTTGTCTCCGTTGATGTCCATAGCTCTGACCCAGCAGACAGCAAGCCCCTGGGCTGAGGGCTGGCTTTGCTGCTCCATTGGTCTCCAGCCCACCACAAAGCCACGCGAGGCAGTGAAGGGCACAGGCGGACTGGCTGTCATGTACCAGATGTAGGCTCCAGCCTACCTACCACCTGCCACTGACTGAACAGTAAAAGACCTCCCCATCTCCATGCAGCCCAGAAAAAAATGAAAGAGAAACCCACATGCTCTCATCCTTAAGTGACCTGCTCTTCTTTAACTCTCCCCACTTCCAGGCCCAACAGAAGCAGAGAGCTCTGTGTGTTCTCTGTGCCCATGCAAATTTGTCACGCCTTTAAGAGTAAGACAAGTACCAAATGGCTGTTAATGGATGAATCTTAAGGCCCTCCTCCTTTCCTGATTGAGGATTTAACAACCCTTCTTCATGGGACCAACATCCACACCTCCCTCCCAGGAAAATGCGTACTTTCTGTACATGTTCAATATGAAGGCATGCTAGACTTTGCCAGGAAAGCAAACCACTGCCTCTACTAGTGACAGAAGAGGGAGCAGGTACACGCAGACCACAGGCACAGCACTCACCATGGGCATGTACACATTGTGTGGGTTGGCAGGGTTGTAATATGCACTGGATGCAGCTTCCATGGCCTTATTGCCCCCTACAAAGGAAAGGAAAGAAGCCATATTACATGTCTTAGGCAGTGGCCCAAGCCCCAGAGCCTTCTCCCAGCCATAGCTCTTTTGAGGAGGAAACAAATGTCCAAAGAGCCAACAGCAACTGCAGCAAGCTGGGTTTGAATTCAGAGCAGTTCAGGAAAGCTGCAAGCTGGCTAGAGCTGACCACAAGCTGTGCAGCACAGAGCCAAGCAGCTTCCCCCATGCTTTGTTACCTCAAATAATAGATCAAGATGACTTTGAGCTCCTGCAACAACAGCAGCTTCCCCCACCCCATGCTACGCCCACACCACCACCCACAGCCCAAATCCCCAAGCACCCTTTTGCAGCTGGACCCTGGCAGCCCCCCAGTCCCACTTACCTGGCATCCCTGGGCCCATCCAGGCTGGGGGAGCTGAGGGTCCTGCAGGAGACGGCCCGGAGTAGGGGGGAGGGGGTGGCACATACATGGGGTTCGTGTTTGGAAGTGGTGGGTAAATACCTGAAAAAGATGACGCCAGATTGATGCTTTGGACCGTGGCAATGGGACACAGGGGAAGAGAGCTCACAGGCCCAGCAGCACATTAGCCCTGGACAAGAGCAGCAGTGAGGGAAGCTCTGCAGGCTTGGCAGGGATGCAGACAGCAGGGATTTGACATTTTGCTAATGCCCATCATGCCAGCAGGCAACAATTCCCTGCCAAGTAGCAGCAGCACAGTTTAGAAACCACATCTCCTCCTCCCATCCAGCTGCAACTATAGAGACACATGGGTGTGATCAACAGCACACAACAGATTTTTGCAAGGACAAGGATTCTTGATGGAGACAAAACTACAGTAACCCTCACCGTACCATTGTGATTTCTTTACAACTAACAACAAACACACCCTGCCAGTCATCATTACACAACTTCCAAACCTGGAGTCTGGGCATATGGATATCCCATGGGCTGTGGAGCAGGTCCGTAGGCATTCATCGGAGGTGGTGCATAAGGATACAGTCCGTTTGGTGGTGGAGGAGCAGCATAGCCCCCCGGTGCAGGTGAATAACCCCCAGGAGCAGGTGGGGCAGGTG